GAGGACGCAGGGAATTGGGAGGGGGAGGGAAGAGCCCCGCCTGTGGACTCCGTGCCACGTCTTCCCTCCCCCGCCTCCCATTGGCTGATTCCAAATCTCGCGAGCGCACTTGCTCCACTCCCCGCCCCTGGCCCGGGTGCCGTGGCAACCACACCTGTTTGGCCTCGCCCCAGGGGGCGGCTCGCGGAAGTGCTGCGGTTGGGAAGGCGGGAATCCCGGCCGGGGCGCGAGGAGGTCCTGGGGCCTGCGTGCCTTGCAGCATCCGTGAGACTCCCAGTTAGAAACCCCAGCTTCTTGAATTCGCGTCCCACCCGCAGTTTCGTCACGAACAGTCTTCTTCCTCCCACCGACTCCGAATCTCTGGAAGCTTAGGAGGACCCTGGGGGCCTTGTGCCCCCCATCTGCACTGCCTTTCCTTGTCTCCTGTGGCCCCTGCTTCCCCGACACTCCCTCCCATCCCCGCATCTTTGTCTTATTTGGGAGAGGGCGAGGCAAGAAATAGGAGGTAGAGGAAGCTGAACATCCAAGGAAGGGCGGTGACTGGGGAAAGAAAAATGAGAAGGGAGAGGAGGCCAATTGGGAAAGTCTGACCAGCAGCAAGAGGTGAGCTCCCCTCAGGCCAAAGGGGCTGGGAATTGGGAGGTGGACACAAGCAGTGGAGGACGCTTTTGACATATGACGTAGAGGAGAAAAGATGGCCTCGGTAAAGAGATTGTATCTGTGGGAGGGTGGGAGGAGGTAAAGAGGAAGTTGAGGCCCTTTGGCCACATGAGTTTTGAGGAAGTGAAAAAGGAAATTCCCTCTGTAGGAGGAGGGGAAATGTGGGGCAACAGTGAAATCTTGTGGGAAATTAGGAGGAATTAAAAAACCCAAATACTTCCGCTTTCATCTTGGGGTCACCACCAGTTACCAGTTATTTACTCCAACCTGTGCCCCTACCCTCCTTACCAGTTCCCGGCTGTTCCATTTGGCTCATTCGCCCGCCATCATCCTGGGCCACATGTAGTTTCCCCTGGGCTGTCCAGGCTGGTGAGAATCTTCAGTGGGTGATGTCAGAGCTTTGGGAACTGCGATTGTTGTGTAACCAGTACAAGACACTGAAGCGTGGGAGGGGGTCCCAGGAGGCTCCTGGACAGATCTAAAATGTATTTGGAAACTTGGAGGTCTCACGTCCAGCTTTTTGGCTTCTGGGAGGTGTGAGAGCCTGGAGAGCTGGATGCCTATATCGGGGAAGAAAGCAGGCTAAGAAGACGGAGGCAGGAACTCAGCTCTGAGAACAAGCAGAATATTAGGGGAGCTGAGTCAGCCGGGAGCCAGAGAGGGCAAGATGACAGCTTTGGTCACCCACCCCTTGTAGGGTCAGGCCTCAGTGCCTTCTGAGGGAAAAAGTAAAGTTAAATCGATTGCCTTCCCCTCTCGCTCTGGAAGCATTGGAGAGCCCTGCCTTCAGTCTTAGGTCCCTGATTTACTGCTTTTGTTTGAGTTTCATTAGCATTCTTTTCATCAATCACAGTAAAACATGTGAAAAGAAGCCATGAGTCTCTTTGGCATTCTCAAAAGAGGATATTGAGGCTGTCACCATAGGCCGTGTGCCAGCTGGTGACCAGGAGCCTCCCAGGGGCCCAGTCCAGACTTCCTGGGCCAGCCTTCCAGCCAAACAACTTGCCTCCTACGTGGTTCTTTGAGGGGTCCACCCCGGAGATGCAACTTCTGGGCTGTTCCAGGGAAGGGCCCCAGGCTGAGGATTCTGAAAGAGACGGTTGTTTAGTGGTCTGAATGAGGTTTTGAAGAGTTAGATCCCCAGCAACTCTCATACTGACCCGCTATGGGCCATGTTTTGCGCATCTCCCCAGAGCCCTGTGTGCTGGGAAAACCCAGCCCTACAAAACTGAAAACAACAAAATGTTCATGGGTTATTTATAAATGAACCCCAGCCCTCATTGGTTCTGTATGGCTGCTTGACTTTCTCCAAGGAGCTCAAAGGACTAGAAGAGGGGACCTTTCTCCCTCATGAGGCTCAAACGGGCAGATATTAGTTAACCTAATTTCACAGAGTTGGTGCCCAGGTCCTGGGCAGCTTCCTTGTGTAGTAATTCCCCAGATTGAGAAAATGCCCTAACTTTCTTTCTTTGTGTTTTTTGAATAGCTTCTGTTTTGCGAAACGTGAATGAACCATTTCACTTTTGGTTTCTCTCTCTCTTCACTTTCTGTCTTTGCCAGGGTCCCCAGGAAAAGATTTAGAGGGAGGGGTCAGATGTTTCCGGTACCTCGGAAATGATGCCCATCCATCACTCCCAGTTTCTTCTTTCAAATTCACAAATACAGAACCGCCAAGCCCAGCCCCGGGGGATTGCTAGGGCTCCTCAGGGACTGTGCCCAGCCAGTGGAAAGGGGCCACCTGCTTTCCCTCAGAGCAATCTGCTCAGTCCCATGATAGCCTGGTCTAGAGAAGTGTCTACAGGGCCCCTAAAAACAACAACAAATCGGTGGTGACACAGTGTTAGGGCTGCCCAAGATCTCTGCATCCAAATGTCACGAGAAGACACGGGAGGCCCGGGGCTATTGAGTGGCTTCCTCGAAGACTCCTGGAGAGATTGAGAAGCTGGACCTTTGGAATGTTAGCACTGTGCTCTTTCCAGGCTCAAACCCTTTGAAGTCTGAATTCTCAAGGTCTGGCTGGAGGCAAAGCAGAGGAACAGGGTTTCGAGAGCTTCTTAGGTACAGGCTGGGGTAAACTCTGCTCTCAAGCGGCAGCCCCTGTTTTGCAGCCTGGAGGCCCAGCCTGCGATTTACCTGGGTGCCACGGACGTGCCACCACACCGTGCTTTGCAGAGCTGAGCTGCAGTGACCTCTGAGCATTTTTGATAAAAACTACATGCTGGACTGGAGGAGGCCACCCACTGCCAGGCTTACAAATGGTGTCTCTGTCCCGGTGGCCTCTGGCACCGTCTTCCAGGGGCTGTGGCAGCAGGAGCTGCAGCTGAGCGCAGGGTGCAGTGTTTAACCCAATCTCCCTGCAGAACGCAGGCACCATCCCAGCCCTGCCCTCCAGGCCTTCGCTGTGAACACGCAGCATTTGGGGATTCCACAGGAAGTGATTTATCATCATTTGGCACCGGAGAATTCTGTCTTCTACAGTGACACCACCAGGGATCCTTTGGCAGGGTCTTAGGGGTCCTCTTATCCTACACTGATGGAAATGGGTGTAACCTTGATGTCCCATGCTCTCGGCAGCCTGAGAGTACACGAGGTGTGCGGATGCTGCTGCCTGAGTGGCCGCCATCTTAGCCCCACCTATGTGAGTGCAGCCGCTTGCCCTCCTCAGGTGCCCTCCAGGCATGTTCTCCCTCATCATGGCTTCTTATTTCCTATTCCCCCATGGAGGAAACAGCCTGAGCCTCACCATGGGCCTCACAGGCTGGGGGCTGGAGATTAATTCTGTCACACTTGGCCTACATGGCACAGAACCCAGTTCATCTTTAATGAGCCCTTCCTCTGGCCTCTGACCCAGTCTCTCACATCCACACCTCAGTGAGGGTCCAACGATGTGCCCAAAGCCACACTCCAGTCCCTTCTGCTGGCTTAACCTCTCCCTCCTCCCCCCGAATCAGTCTCCACACGGTGGCACACTGAGCTGGTGGTGCATACAGATGTCTCAGCCAGCCTCTCACACCTCCTCTTGGCCCAGCTGGAACATTCTTGTGACCTTTGTCTTCTCTGTCCTGCTCTTGAGTACAGGCTATGGGGGCGGGTCATCTGAAAAGGGACTGGAAACCGAGGAGACGAGAGAGCCGGCCACGTGTGCCTAAGCTCCATGTTTGCCCCCAGAAGTCCACGTAGGGATTTCTCCAAGGGCAGATGAAGTGAG